ATGCAAGGAGAATTTGAAATGTCAATGATGGGGGAGCTTTCATTCTTTTTGGGGTTGCAAATTAAACAAATGAGTAATGGAATTTTCATAAGTTAAAGCAAGTATTGCAATGAACTATTGAAAAAGTTTGGCATGGAAGGGTATAAGGAGGTTGCCACACCAATATCAAACACATGCAATCTTGACTTGGATGAAAAAGGCATAGCTGTTGATAGCTCAAAGTATAGAGGTATCATTGGATCACTCTTATATTTGACAACTAGTAGGCTTGATATAATGTTTGTTGTGTGCTTGTGTGCAAGATTTCAGGCAAATCCAAAATAATCTCACATGAAATGTGTAAAGAGAATTCTTAAATATCTGAAAGGTACAACTAATGTAGGTTTGTGGTATCCAAAGAGAGTCTCACTAAGTCTGATAGGCTACTCAGATTCAGTCTATGCTGGGTGTAGACTAGATAGAAAAAGCACAAGTGGTACTTGTCACCTACTAGGTAGTGCACTTGTCTCATGGCATAGCAAAAAGCAAGCTTGTGTTGCCTTAAGTACAGCTGAGGCTGAATATACAGCTGCTGGAAGTTGTTGTGCTCAAATTCTTTGGATGAAGCAACAACTAAGAGACTATGGAACTGAGTTAAATAAAATACCTCTGAGATGTGACAATACAAGTGCAATAAATCTGACCAAAAATCCAATTTTGCACTCAAGGACAAAACACATAGAGATAAGACACCACTTTTTGAGAGATCATGTTCAAAGAAATGATTGTGTTGTAGAGTTTGTTGAGACTAGTAAGCAATTAGCTGACATATTTACAAAACCTCTACCAAGGGAAAGATTTAATCAATTAAGAATTGAACTAGGGATAGTCAATGAATCTTGTTTGAATTGATTGTGATTTGAGAGTGATTGTGTGATTGTTTGGAATAAGTGTGAAACATTGATGCATAAAAGAGAGTGTTCAAGAAGTGAATTAGACTTTGAGTAATTTGAAAAGTTAAATTTCTGAGAAGCAAAACTTCTCTGGAATAATCGATTATCTTCAAATTTAATCGATTATTTCAAGTAAGCCCATAATAATAATCGATTATTTGGGTAATAATCGATTATCTGGGAGATGAAAAATTCCAAGAGCCTCTGTAATAATCGATTATTTGGGGCAATAATCGATTATCTGGTAAGAAGAATTCCAAGAGCCTCTGTAATAACGATTATTTAGGGCAATAATCGATTATCTGGGAAGAAGAATATGAAAAGCCTATGGAATAATCGATTATCTTGGAAATAATTGATTATCTGGGAAAAGTTGAGAAAAAAAACGCTCTGGAATAATCGATTATTCAAAAAATAATCGATTATTTAGTGCAGACAGGGTTTTTAAAGGTTTTTACTGATACAAATAATCGATTATTTGTATGAATAATCGATTATCTGCACGACGTTTGGTTTTTCTAAAGCATTTTGAATGGTTTTTATGCGCGCCAAACCCTTAACTTCCCATTATTCTTCAGTTGAGTAACCTCTCCCCACTCAGAAATGTGCTAGGGCATAAGAACCTCCAAACCCTCTCATTTCTCCAAATCCTCACTTTCTTTCTCAAACCCTAACCTCTTCATCTCTCTCATTCTCTTCTTCTCCACCAAAACCCAACCATGGCCTCTTCTTCCAAAAGACCCAAGAAGCTGGAAGTGAGGGGGAGCAAGCGTCCTCTGCCCTCAAGGAAACTAATTTCCAAGTAGTTTGCAGATGAGGAAACCTAGGAGTATTACTTCGAGTGGTATGCGGGTCGGAGAATCATCCCTCCCAAAACCCTAAAGTTGGAGTGGTTCAAAAATGAAGGGTTTAGCTTCCCTACTCTGCTAGAGCACCAAGACCTTGGGAAGTTCTTGGAACTGGAAGGACCCTACTACCCTGAGCTGATTAGGCTATTTCTTTGCTTTTCTACCAGCAATGAAGGGATAATGCAATCAGTTGTGAAGGGCAAGCTGATAAAGCTTGACGGACCAACTTTGAGGGCGGCTGCCGGGCTGAGTGGCAATGGGAGTTACAAACCCCAACCCTTCAACTTTGGTGATTTTGAGGAGCTGACAACCTTCAAAGACTGTCAGAGAAATCCTGAGAACACCAACTACAACAAATTCTTGGCGGGAGGTATGAAGAAAAATTCCCGTTTGATTTCTTTCATTATTACCTGGATGATTAAACCACGTTTGCAAAACCATGCTCAAATGTCAAGGGATGACATTTTGCTGATGCATGTGATTAAAAAGAAAATTAAGATTGATTGGGTGTCGGTGGAGAATGACTGCATGTGGAAGGCGAGAAGGAAAGAGGATGGTCCAATTCCTTATGCCTTGTTGTTATCTAAGATTTTTGAGAATGCAGGGGTAGAATTGACAGGGGAGAAAAAGATTATTCTCCATGCCTCTAACAAAATTGAGAAATCTTCCTTGCATCACATGGGGATGCTAAAACAGGAAGATAAGTAGGTATTCAAAAGAGATGTCCCTCCAACCCCTGAACCGACAATAAATGAGGATGGCGTTCCATTTCATGATGAGGACCAGCCACCACAGGTCGAAGCTGAACCTGACAGAGAGCAAGAGGCAGAGCCTAAACCATTCTCTTTATTCGAGCAAATTATGATTAATAAGCTTGATGCTGTTATGGAGATGTCTAAAAGGCATGAGTCAATATACTCGGGTATTCTTGATCGGTTTGATGCCCTAGATCATGAAATTAACCGACTTAAGACTCACCTTGGGATGCCTGAGGACTCGGAATGATTAGTGCTCTAATCTGTTTTTTAATTAGGAAGTTTAAATTTCTAGTTTTTAAAATTTCAATTTCAATTGGGTTGTAATCATTTTAATTTCGGAACAATTTAATTGCTTTAAGTTGTTGAACAATTTGATTTCAGGTGGAATTTGAAGTTTAATTTATGATATATTGTGTTTGAATGATTTTGGTTTGGCTGATTGATGGTGTGATGTTCTGTTTTTGAACATTGATATATTTTTTTGATGTTTGGTTGGCATAGTTGATAATGAATTGTATCTTGTGATTTTGAACTCTGAATTGTGATAATGAATTGTATCTTGTGATTTTGGCTAACCAATTCATATTATTGTTTCTGATCTGATGCTTATGACTTGGATATTATGATTTTGGTTCACAAAGTTTTTTTTTGGCTGACCAATACCTATGTTGTGTTAAATCAGTTTTTGTGGTATTGTTCTGAGCATATAAGGAGTATGCATATAGCTCATACTTGTGTATTGTGGACATACATAGCTTGGTTTGTTTTTGATGATCTCCAAAGGGGGAGAAAGGTTTTGTGTTGGTTTGTTTTGCAGGTTTTGAATGTGAAAAAGCAAAATGGACAAAATGGCTTAGCTTAGCTTGGTTTGTCATCATCAAAAAGGGGGAGATTGTTGAAGATTTGGGGAGATTGAGATTGTTGAGATCACCTCTGAAGACTAAAGGTTTTGATCATAACAAATGTGTGGAACAAAGTTGACCAAGGACATCAACAACTTAGAAGTCAAAAACAAAGTCAAAGAAAAATATTATGTAATAGGAGTAGTTTATAGATTGCTTTTATTGAGTTTATATTTTGTGTGTGCTTTGTGCTTTGGCTAATCTATATCTAATCTGATTGGGAGTGTGTATGATGATGAGTTTAAAAGGTTAAAAAGTTATTTTGAGACTTAAAATAAAGTTTTGAAAACTAACTCAAAATAATCGATTATCATTAAACATAATCGATTATTCCAGCAACAGGCAAAAAGGATGCCTTGCTGCAATAATCGATTATTTGTGAAATAATCGATTATCCCAGAAATGACTCTCTGGAATAATCGATTATCCACCAAAATAATCGATTAAATTGTTCTTGGCTGATTTCCAGAAATCATGAAGAACAAAATAATTGATTATTCTTTAAAATAATCGATTATCTGGTTCTGAAAAACTTATAAATAGTTTGACCATTTTGAAACTTCAGAACAGAGTTAGAATTGAGAATCAAAATTAGAAAAACCTGTTTGTGAAGTCTTTGTAACAATCTTGGAGAGTTTTCTTTGTGAA